ACACACACACACACACACACAAACACACACACAAACACACACACTTCAGATTAGATTCAGATTCATAATGGTTCACTGGATGAATACATGCAAATAAATAAAATTACAAATAAATATTATTATTATTTATCTGCACCACCATTCAAAAGATGGTTTTAATGTTTTTAAAAGAAGTTTTGCTTGCTCACCAAGACTGCATTTATTTTATTGAAAATACAGTAAAACAGTAATATTTTTAAATATTACTATTTAAAATGACTGTTTCCAATTTCAATATAATATAAAATGTAACTTATTCCTGTGATGCACAGCTGAATTTCCAGTCTTCAGTGTCACATGATCCTTCAGAAATCATTCTAATATGCTGATGCTCAAACATTTCTTATTATTATAAATGTTAAAAACCATATTTTTGTGGAAAGCATGACACATTTTTTCAGGATGATTTGATAAACAGAAAGTTCCAAACAACAGCATTTATTTGCATTTAACATTATAACTCACTTTTGATAAATTTAATGTGTCATTGCTGAATAAAAGTATTTAAAAATGTAAAAGTTAAAATTAAAAAATCTTAAATTTAGTTTATTTTTCTTAGCCCATACATATACCCATTCTTTCTTCTTGTTTTAAGTGAAAAAAAATCTCACTCAACTCTGTTACATTTATGCTTACAAAAAAAAATGCTATTTGTCAGTTGGGTAAGAAAATTACATTTAAGATATGTTCTCTGAAAACAAAGCTAGGCAAATGTATTTTGTTTGGAGGACTAGTTTGAGAAAATATATTTTTTAGTGTAATACTCAAATGAAGTACACTGTCTTTTATCCTATTTTCAAACATTTAATTTTTTTCAAAGGTTGTAATATTGTCATTCAGCTCAGAGCTGGTTACTTTGAATAATGGCTCAGAGCTCTATATTAAAGGTGTCCTATTATGCTTTTTCACTTTTTTAATTTTAGTCAGTTGTAGTGTGTACGTTTGGGCATAAAAAAGATCTAGAAAGTTACAAATCTCAAAGTTCACTCCAAAATATTACTCCAGTAAAAGTACAGAAATACTTGATTTTAAATGCACTTAAGTATTAAAAGCATAGGTGGAGCGTGTGTAAGGCTGGGGAAGGCAAAAATGCCACTAAATTAGACAAAAATTCCCCTGCACAAACAAATTAAATCTATTACGTCTGTTGCTAACAAAGTGTAAATGAATAGAAAGTGTCGACTGTGCATTAAATTAAGATTTGCTCATGTTGCACTGCATTTCATTTTAGGCGTTTTTACAGTGTTGTGCATTATAACCAATCACACACGATTCTGTTGAGCTTAGGAATGCAATGGCCAATCAGAGACGTTCAGATGAGTCATCGCTGAAACTCATCAGCTTTGTTGAATGCGCGCACGTTCGATGACTGAATCCCGCAAATTCTCTCATCATACACAACAAAGCGCAGATGTAGCTACAATGTAAGTAAGAGATTCCTTTCGCAATGTAGACAGCTTCAGTGATTATAACGATAGTTTTGTTTTTTTTGAGAGTGCCATAGATCAAAGTTAGTGATAATGTCATTACTCTACATCATTTATTCGCTGTTTGAATAACCGTGGGAAGGAAACGTTATAAAATTATGAATTTCTAATGTTTTAATTAAATTGTAATCACAATAAATACAAATTCAGTCCCATTAAACATATTTTATTAGCCTACATGACACCCGTGTCTGGTTCTTGCCGCAAAAGACAGGTTTATGATGTTTGTAGTTAATAGATTTGGTTGCTTTTAGCCTTACCCTGGAGTTGGTTCACCCTATGATTAAAAGTAAAATGTATTAATCGATCATGTTTATGATTTACTCTAGCCAGAGATATTTTGTTTTTTAAAAAATCCCTTTTCAAGAACTACTACAAACGACTCGTTTGGACTACAGCGTTTGTTTTCCGGGCTTTGTGATATCACAAAGCGGCTCATTGGAATATCATTACAAAGAATTCCTGCCTACAGAAATTCGAATGGCTGGGGGGTGGGGAGGGGCGAGGTTGTGGTTGGAACGCTTGGTTGAGTGAGTGCATCAGACGAGACGACGAAGAAGAAGTGCTGCTGCAGAGTTTGGCAGAGAGAGAAGAGGAAGAGCTGCTGTGCTGTAGCTTCAAATTTTCGGCATGTCTAGAACAATTCTTACAAGTACAACACGACGTATCTGGGTGCCGCGGACAGATGCCGTACGGCGCCGCCGGTGTGCCTACACTCATAGAAAATAATGTATTCGAATTTTAAAGACGTGGCGTGACACGAAGCTGCGCTTCTCGTCCGGGTGTGCGACCGCCTGAAACGCTGTTTTCACCTCCGTGCCCAAACATCTTTGTTTGGGCTACCGAAAGCGGATGATGTCAGGAAACAGTGGTTGCAATTTATTTTTTAACTCTGTTCCTGAGCATTATAACCCCAATTTGCTATTGTGTGCTGCGCATTTTACTGAGAACAGCTTCCACAACATGGAGTGCAGTGCCTGCCGGATTCGCCCAAAAGCTTTTGTTGAAAGACGGAGCAAGGGGCGTTGCAGTACTGAAACTCCGTCTAAGCTGTTCGCCAATCACAACGCACAGGGACAGCTAACCAATCACAACACATTTTGTTTTTCGGAAGGTGGACCTTCATCAAAGCGCCAAATCACTAATCGAGCCGTTTGTGCCAGGATGGAAAGAAAGGTATTTTAATAATGTAAATTATGTGAAAAATAATGCATTTTTTGAACCACCAAGCATGAGAGCATGTTCTAGTACACCCCCAAAACAAAATCAAGACTTTGTAAAAGAGCATAATAGGACCCCTTTAAATAATTTTTTGAAGTCTCTATGGAGAAAATTAATAAGAAAAATGTAAGCAAGGCCGCTACAAAAGTGTGCGGTCACTGTTGTGATCTATTAGTGCAGCGAGCACTTCTTTTGATTACTCTGTTACATGAAACATTCATCCAGCTCAGTGTCTGTTTATTTGCTCTGATACAAATGTATCAGTCTGAGTAAATAACATTCACAAATCATTGTGTTACGTGAGTGGTGTCATTTTCAAAAGACAACACACTTCCAGCTACATACTATTGATTTTTAGTTAGGACATGCTTATTTTCCATACTGCAATTTCTATGCGATTTGACTTTTATCCGAAACACATTCTCTACAATTTAGCCACACAATGTGATGGGTTCACATAAAGAGCAATAAAGCAGGATCTCCTCTCGGTAAATGATAACGTCCCTGGGGAACGGCACTGCAATGTATTTGCCACTTTTATCTCAGGACCTAAATATGTCAATGCTACATAATTGAAAGTGAAATGAGATCAGCACCCGTCTTGCATTATGATGTGTGTTACTAAACAATCACATTATCTCAAAACAGCCTCTATGTATAATGAAACAGTTTTTTTTACTTATTAATACAAGGGTGAAATATTAATATCAACCACTGAATAAAAGATATAATGGCCGTGAGTTCAGGTTTTCTAATCCAATTAATTTCTCTTTTTAAAAGTCTGTTTTCTTTTCTTTAATCTACTACAAAAGACAAACAACACTGTCCAAAAAGCCAGACAGCAACAAGAGAACTGTGGGCAAAATGACAGACAAATCCTTATAGGACTTTCTAGGCAAGAACATGGTGCACTTTTCTTTTGTTCTTTATTTCTTTTCACTTGCAACCCCATTCTGCTTGAAAATAATTGAATTTCCATCTCTTTCATCATCACCAATGACTCCTGTCACATAAAAGCAGAAGAGAATGTCACATTAGAGGTTGTTTAAGGATTGCAAACGTTCTCATGCAACCTCATGCATGCAGACGTGAGATGAAATTTTCTCATTTTGCAATGAGTTTACACACTGTTTCCTAAATACAGTGGTGGATGAAGTACACAAATAAAGTACAAAATACAATATTACTCCAGTAAAAGTACAGAAGTGCTTGATTTTAAATGCACTTAAGTATTAAAAGCATAGGTGGAGCGTGTGTAAGGCTGGGGAAGGCAAAAATGCCACTAAATTAGTCAAAAATGCCCCTGCACAAACAGATTAAATCTATTACGTCTGTTGCAAACAAAGTGTAAATGAATAGAAAGTGTCAACTGTGCATTAAATTAAGATTTGCTCATGTTGCACTGCATTTCATTTTAGGCGTTTTTACAGTGTTGTGCATTATAACCAATCACACACGATTCTGTTGAGCTTAGGAATGCAATGGCCAATCAGAGACGTTCAGATGAGTCATCGCTGAAACTCATCAGCTTTGTTGAATGCGCGCACGTTCGATGACTGAATCCCGCAAATTCTCTCATCATACACAACAAAGCGCAGATGTAGCTACAATGTAAGTAAGAGATTCCTTTCGCAATGTAGACAGCTTCAGTGATTATAACGATAGTTTTGTTTTTTTGAGAGTGCCATAGATCAAAGTTAGTGATAATGTCATTACTCTACATCATTTATTCGCTGTTTGAATAACCGTGGGAAGGAAACGTTATATAATTATGAATTTCTAATGTTTTAATTAAATTGTAATCACATTAAGTACAAATTCAGTCCCATTAAACATATTTTATTAGCCTAAATGACACCCGTGTCAGGTTCTTGCCGCAAAAGACAGGTTTATGATGTTTGTAGTTAATAGATTTGGTTGCTTTTAGCCTTACCCTGGAGTTGGCTCACCCTATGATTAAAAGTAAAACGTATTAATCGATCATGTTTATGATTTAATCTAGCCAGCACTAGTCAGACTAACCAGCACTAATAAGAAAGATAAGTGCAGACATTTAATATGTATTGATCTGCATATAAGCAGTGTTATTTTAGTATAATCGAGATACTATTACAGTTTTTATTATATTTTATTCATATTTTCAGTTTTTATTTTTATATTTTTCATTTAGTTAAAGTGTTAGTCATTTTGTTGTGTGCTTTTGTCATTTTTAGTAGATTCGTTTTTATTTCAGTTTTAGTTTTTGTTATTTTGGTAGTTAAACTAAATTAAAATGAGAAATGCTGCATTGGAAGCTAGCTGAAATAAAAATATTTTTTATTCTATTTTATTTCAGTTAACGTTTATTGATATTTGAAGTAATGAAATTTTTTTTTATGGTTTTAATTTTACTTTCAGTTTTAGTTAACCATAATCACGCTGTAAATAAGCAAACTTTTTATATATATATATATATATATATATATATATATATACCATATAGTATTTTAAAAATGAGGAAAAATAAAAATACTTTGTTACACTGTCTAAATCCAAGAAATCATCACAGTCTCCAATCCAAGACTCACCTGATCTGCTGATTGGCCTCGCTACGGATCTTCAAAACCTCTTTGCCCTTGAGTTCCAGCTCCTTGGTCAAAGTGCTGATGTTCTCGTTCAGGGTGTGAATCTCATGGTCCAGATCGGCAATGTGCTTCTTCCTGCGACTGACCTCCTCCTGCAGATCTGAGATGCGACTCAGAAGCTCACGTTCCTGCAACACACGAGAACGCAGGGTAAACCGAGGTCACACTAAATGCCAGACTGACCTTACTTGAGAATGCCATGTGTTACGTAAGAGCGTGGATTGTGTGATGCGAAGGCTCTTCCTGAAACATTCAGACACATGGAGTTCCCACAGATGCTCTTTTCACATTGCACTTTGAGACTATGTTGGGATCTAATATTGATGGGCACATCCATCTGGTTTGCCTTGCTTATACACTACATCTTCAAATATATGAATAGTTTAGTTATGAATAAATAACGATTGGCAGCAGCCAGCAGATCTACAGCATTATTTTTGGCATGGAGGTTTTAGCACTAGAGTTTCATCTCTTGAGGGACATCAGGAGCTAATGGGCCTTGAGTCCATGTCTGAAGTTACTGGGGAACAACTTTAATAATATAAAGCAAAAAATACAATGTTTCTGGCGATGTACTAGAAATAAATTGGTTTTGAAATGAGGCGGGGAAACTTTCCTTGCAGAAATACATCTCAGAGCACTGAGAAAATGTATGCCTTTGAATAAAACACTGTACATAACAAAAATACCAGTATTAAATAAATAAATACAAATTCTGAGAGGATTTTTTTCAGAGAGGGCCCATGTTTGTAGTTTAGTTCCACATGACCATTTTCCACCCTCTCTCTGACTTTTAAAATTAAACAGGCTGTTTTGTTACTGTTAAGGATTTTATAATGCAAATGACATCTGTTATCATTGGCTAACCTTTCTGCATGCAAAATGACTAACAATAACCATGATGTTACTGAAATCTGAGTATGTTTTCTATATACACACTCTCTATAAAAAAGCATTTTTATATATATATATATATATATATATATATATATATATATATATATACCATATAGTATTTTAAAAATGAGGAAAAATAAAAATACTTTGTTACACTGTCTAAATCCAAGAAATCATCACAGTCTCCAATCCAAGACTCACCTGATCTGCTGATTGGCCTCGCTACGGATCTTCAAAACCTCTTTGCCCTTGAGTTCCAGCTCCTTGGTCAAAGTGCTGATGTTCTCGTTCAGGGTGTGAATCTCGTGGTCCAGATTGGCAATGTGCTTCTTCCTGCGACTGACCTCCTCCTGCAGATCTGAGATGCGACTCAGAAGCTCGTGTTCCTGCAACACATGAGAATGCAAGGTCACGAAAAATGGCAGACTGACCTTACTTGAGAATGCCGCGTGTTATGCAAGAGCGTGGATTGTGTGTGGCTCTTCCTGAAACATCTGAATTCAGACACATGGAGTTCCCACAGATGCTATTTTCACATTGCACTTTGAGACTATGTTGGGACCTAACATTGATGGCACATCCCTCTGGCTCGCCTTGCTTATCAACTACACCTTCAAATATATGAATAGTTTAGTTATGAATAAATAAAGGTTGGGAGCAGCCAGCAGACCTACAGCATTATTTTTAGCACTAGAGTTTCATCTCTTGAGGGACATCAGGAGCTAATGGGCCTTGAGTCCATGTCTGAAGTTACTGGGGAACAACTTTAATAATATAAAGCAAAAAATACAATGTTTCTGGCGATGTACTAGAAATAAATTGGTTTTGAAATGAGGCGGGGAAACTTTCCTTGCAGAAATACATCTCAGAGCACTGAGAAAATGTATGCCTTTGAATAAAACACTGTACATAACAAAAATACCAGTATTAAATAAATAAATACAAATTCTGAGAGGATTTTTTTCAGAGAGGGCCCATGTTTGTAGTTTAGTTCCACATGACCATTTTGCACCCTCTCTCTGACTTTTAAAATTAAACAGGCTGTTTTGTTACTGTTAAGGATTTTCAAAATGACATCTGTTATGATTGGCCAAACTGTCTGCATGCAAAATGACTAACAAGGACCCTGATGTTACTGAAAACTGAATATGTTTTCTATGATATGGCATCCATTAAAACAGAGACACTCTTTTAATATACAGCACAACACACAATACCCAAATCACAAAGGGGTACAAATTAGAGTCTGACTCTTTAAAATGAATAGTTAAAAACACAGAAATTAAATAGCATAGTGATAATTATATATTTTAGTTGTTGGATACAGTCGAGAAGGTCAGGACCTCTGAGGTGGGACAAGTTCAAATCAATTTTAATGGTTTAAAAAATCAATTTAAGACATTTGATGCATTTAAGCTCTCAGGGTATGTTAACATTCTGTTAGGTAACACTTTATCAAACATATATAATAGTTCTCACTCCAAAAAAAAACCCCATCACATTCATGCCTCTAAAAAAAGTAATGGGACACCACAATGTATTGTATTCACAGAAATTGCCACACAGGCTGTTCTCTACTGTAACAATTATATACACAACTGTATACGTCAGACTCCAGTACAGCCCTGGTTAGATTAATTAGACAACGCTTGTCTCAAGGGCAATTTTCCACTCCACTGACACTTTGACTTTTAAATGCCTCATGCAGAGGAAGAAGTAGAAATCCTCCTGGAAAATATAGCCGAGCCCGTTTCCAGTTTTATGCAGTTAATGGCCCTTGCTTAATCAAATTACAATTTGCTCATCCAACTCTGAATGTCTGTAAATATCATTTCACACAACAAATAGCTCAATAACGGTATCAGTGTGTGGCAAAGAAAACCTGTGGCCCAGAGGGGCTTCCTATATTAAGTGATAAAGGATGCCAATGTCAGCAGAAAAAGTAATAAATAGCAAATATTTGCATTAAAAACAAATTTGTGTATTTCTAATGTATACTCACTTAAATAATTACAAAAATATCACAGCCATTGTAGACAACCGTGAATTACCCTGAAAGAGCATTTGTTAATAACTCCAAATCACGACAGATGGTTCATCTTGAGAATGAAACATAAAAACAGCATGCTCACTTCTAAGAAAATAAAACTTTGAATCAGTGCCAATCTGTTTCTCCCACTCTGCCCATGTGTCCTGCAGCAATGATATCATTCTTTAGAGCAGTCCATTTTGATATCTATATATACATTAGTTTATTATATTTATTATTATTTTTTTTAGTCAAAGACTAATCAATATTACAGTATTAAAACAACATAGTTATAGAATAAAATGCAAAGAAGAACCATAAAGTAACCATAACCATAAAGTGAATATACAGTGGGGCAAATAAGTATTTGATACACTGCTGATTTTTCAAGTTTTCCCACTTACAAAGAATGGAGAGATCTGTAATTTTCATCGTAGGTACACCTCAACTGTGAGAGACAGAATAAAAAAAAAAAAAATCCAGAAAATCACATTGTATGATTTTTAAATAATTAATTTCCATTTTATTGCATGAAATAAGTATTTGATCACCTACCAACCAGCAAGAATTCTAGCTCTCACAGACCTGTTAGTTTGTCTTTAAGAAGCCCTCCGATGAAAATTACAGATCTCTCCATTCTTTGTAGAAGAATTTCTCCATTTTCGAATCTTGCCGATATTCGACTGATAGTTGAATCATATGTTTTGGGGGCGGGGCAAAATACATTACCAAGAGTCAAGGCAGACATTGGGAGTGTATGGGTTTGTTCCCCCTCAGCTAGGGGTGGGCGATATAGCAAAAATATCACGTTTTTTAGAAATTTCACGATTTTATCACAATTCTTTGTCATGTTGGTTTTCCTATTTTGCAAGCTGTTTGAGCATTACAGCCAAACTAATTTCCCTACTATAAAGACAAAATTAGCTCCAACCCTAATCAAACAACTATACCTGTGATTTTCTAATGATCCAGAAGACATTGATTAGCAAACTCAGGTGTGTTTGATTAGGGTTAGAGCTAAACTCTGCAGGAAAAGTGGATCTCGCGAGCCAGATTTGAGGATCACTGTCCTAAGGTATAGTTTGGGGAACACACCTAGGAAAGGTATACCCCTAGTTAAGGTGTACCTTTAGAGTCTCCGTAGCACGCTAAGAGACACCGTTATCGGGAAACGCAGCCCTGGCCATTAGTCTACATGAAATTCATCAATGCAATGATGATTCACCACTTTCATTATTGATAAATCAGTTATGTAAATGGAGGAGACGGACTCAGTAGTATAATTGGAGCAGGTGCACAATACATTTTAGTACATGACATCACTGCTGGTGGGAGGGGCCCCATCTCGTTCTTTGCGGGGGGCCTCTAAGATGTGCGGTACACCACTGGCTGTATATTAACTTATTGGGAGAAAACCAGTAGTTCTCTGTGAAATCAGACATTTGAGCACCCCCATATAGCCAAAATGGAATGATCATAACACTCCGCGATGCTTCGGTAGGAGGAGCCTGATTCGACTGCCAATCTCACAGTCGAATCAGGCTCCTCCTACCGAAGCATCGAATCTTCGACTATTCGTGGTCTATATATACAGTATATACACACTATATATATATATACATAAGTAATTTAGGTCACTATATTTAAATATTTACATTAGCAATAAATATTTGTGTAAATTTTTTGTATATTTTATATGTTATATATTTTGTATATTTTTATATAAGTAAGTAAAACTCATTGAAAATGAAATCAGGCAATTTAAATGTCTATGAACTATATATATATATA